TCTTTATATGGAAATTGTTGATAGAGCACAATATTTCACTGCTGCTTCACCAACTGTATTCATCAGATTTAGCACCTAATGAATTTGTCTGTTCCTCCTGAAAAATATGCAGAACAGAGAGAGGCTTTTGCACATGTCAAATGAAAAGTATTGTAAGTGCTATGAGAAATGGCTTGATTACTGCAGTAAGCAGTTTTTATTTTCTCACCAATTAATTTTTTTATTTTTCTTGTTTCCTTAGGGTAAGACATGTGTCAGCCTATTTGTCCAATGCCGTGTTATGACTTCTACACCCTGGCTGTAGTACCGGCTAGTGGTGTACAGCACACACTACCGGTGCTGCTAGATACCATTCCCATACTGTTACGAGGTGGCAGTGTCATTGCAACGCAGACCCCCAATGTGACAACCACAGAAAGGTAATACAGAGAGACTGTCCATTGAAATGAACAGTTAGTTGTGTTAAGGTGCATCGTACGTTAGGTGTCTATCCATGGGCTGCATTATGAAAAGGTGTATTTTTTCCTGATACAGTAGAATGATTTTTAATACAGCTGGTCTCGCAGCAAAACCATGCTAAGAACATAATGAGACTGTCAAAGAGTGTTACTGGGTCAACAGTTGTTATGGATAAGTTACTGAAGTTTTTCTATGAGGGAGTGTCAGTAAATAGGTCACAGATGGATGTAAAATGTAAAACATGTGATATTCAAAACTGGGAAAAAATTCTTTATTGACATATCCTCAACCAACAATTATGCTCTTGTCCCATCACTTTATGGGTGCGTTGAAACCAGAAGCATAGAAGTCTTTTGATTTTTGTCCCAGTGCCATGGTTGTTTCTGTTGCATTGTCAACGGGATGACCTGGTCGGGCATTATCTGTGACTTTTGAACGTCCTTAGAGAATTTCTTGACCCAGATGTGAACTGCTTTATGTGACAAAACAGTTCACACCGTAAACAGGAAACATTTCTGTATGAATATCCTTCCCGTTGAGTCGTTCTGCCCACAAAAAATGCACAGCAGAATTCTGCTCTTTGGTAGTACATGTCTCAAGCAGTCATCCTTGTAGATTGTATTGATATTGCATAAAATCATAGAGTCATTGTTGTTCCTTAATTTTCAAAGTTATTTATTATGTGGTGTGTGAGATAAGTTGAACATTTGTACTGAATATTTATGATAAGAACTTTCATAGTAAAGTTCTTTCCTGCAAGATTCACCTCCCCTTACAAATAGGGGGAAAGCATAAGCATAGTCTCATTTTGGGAATGGAAAGATGCTCTCATGAGCTGCACAAAAGCCATTTGGAGGCCACATGCAGCAAGTTGGATAGCCTTGGATTGTGGTATG